TTTTCTAAAAGAAATATTTAAGGTCTATTCTATAAACAAAGCAGACTTGTGGTTTAAAATGTGAGTTCATATTTTTTTTATTTTGTTTTAATGCCTTGCAATTATTTAAAAAAAATACCCAACACCCAATAGTAGGTTGAAAATGTGACCATTGTTACAATAAAAATAGTTTATGGAATTAAAAATTAATTTGTTGTTAAATTTAGATAAATTTTATTAATATTATAAAAAGTTTTATTTTAAACGAAAAGGGATTTGTAAAATTTACAAAATTAGGGTTTCATTAATACTGCAAAACGGTTTTGTAAACGGTATAGAACTGTTTTTTGACAAATAATAATAATTATATTTATCAAAGCGTATCTGCATCTGGAAGAGTGTTATTTTTATAAACATAACGTAAATTTACTTTATAATTAATGCAAATGCTATTACTGAAAGCTGCGTTTGTAGATAAATAATTTTTATAAAAATGATCTTTTTGCCATAACAAAAGCAATTGTTGGACGAATAGGGATCTTTACTTTATTAAAACAAACTACTTTTTTTGTTATATTTATTATGAAAAATTCAACAAATTGTTTAATAACTCCATTTGGTTTAATTTTGAATGACCCTCGTATGTACCCCATCAGTCTCATATCACACAATAAGTTCTCTTACTTGCTCAACAAAGAAAAAAAATAAAATTGAATAGCAAACATGATGGGAAAAGAATCAAAGATAGGTAAATATCAATCAACTAATAAGTGGTTTTATTGTTTGCATTAACCACATATTTCAGTAATTAACAGGTTGGCTCGAACCTATTTATGGAGACTATACGTCCGGACTATAAATGCTGAGCAAATATTTTACAATGCTTTCTTAAGAATATCAATGCTCTCTCGGAAAACTTAAATTATCAATATTAACTTTGTTTTACCCAACAGCAGTGGCGGATTTAAGATAAAAGGGGCCCAGGAACTATTTTGAGAGACAATTTTAATTTTAATACGGAGTGGAATCTAAATTAGCAGGTTGTGTTTTAAACACCCGGTTTTTTGTATGTACCCATAGGAAAAAGTCTGGAGGTGTTAGATCTGGCGAAGAAGAAGTATAGTTCTCTTGAAAACAAATACAAAATCTCTTGAAGTGTTTTTGTTCAAAAGCTATGAAAATTATTTATATTTACGCAATTCATTCAAAATATATCACAATTATCCCAATAGCATGTCAATTTTTTGAAGGTAAAATATGTAATAAAATTTGTATGTTAAATTATATTTTTGTTAGTTTATTGGTGTTAGTATACTATAATATATATAAAAAAACTTGCGCTTTTGTTGATATCAAACAATAAATATTTTTTTTGTAAACCTTCTTACAGACAATCTTCTAGTTTTCAACGATGCCAAATTTGGCTTGAACACCCCTCACTACGAAGGTCCTTGATTTTAATTGTTAACGCATGTTTCAATATATAAAATCAAAAGGCTTATGTGGTGAGGGGAATTCAAGCTTAAATACTAACAACGCTGGTAGTTTCAGTGAAGATCGGAAGCTTTTGAATGAAGCAATACATACTATTGGACCTATAGATATTTGCTCTAAAATCAAAATAAAATGTGGTTAGGTGAATAGTATATGCTTCTGTAGCAAGACAAATTTTCTTTCTTGTTAGAATCCCATTTTTTTGAGGTAAAAACGATTTCTTCATTCAAAAGAGAAATATCTTCCGAAGATATATTTTTGGTTCTTGTATCAAGAAATCGCTTGCTCTTGATGTAAGCTATTAAATAATGTAATATCCTTAAACGAATAGATTAATCTCTCCTCAAGTAATTTAAAAAATTCATGTGAAGATAGTTTCTGATTTAGATTAAGAAACATAGCGCAAATCTTTTGAATCAAAGTGATTTTCATTTCTTTTGAGAGATTATTTTTTCAGTGCATCTGTTCTGTGATAAAACCTATAGATGCTTACAAAATTAATTAAATGTGAGGGGACTCTTCTATGGTAAGTTGAAGAATGTCTATATTCTTTAAAATTATTTCTTTTAGGCTCCATTATCACACAAAACTCACAACAAACTACTTATAGGTTTATACACTGTTTAAAATATCTGTGGTGTGAAGAGTAATCTGAAAATTGTGTCAAAATCCAACACCAAGTGGTGTTAATATAGCACCATGAATTATGGTTGAAAATGTTTTTTACAGCAAACACCAAAACGGTGTTTATCTAAAAATATTTGAGAAGTGCACCTACACAGAAAAAAAGGAATAGTTCATTTAACTATATTAATTTAGTTGACCCATAAGTATTTATTTATTTCAACTGTCGGAAGGTTAATATAAATACAGATTAGTTTGACGGTACTAAACCAGATAGTTATTTTTTTTTTAAATTGGTTAAATTAACCCAGAAAACTTTAGTGAAACCAACCCGCTGTATGGTTCAGTTTACTAAATATGTTGTTTGTAAAATAAGAGTTACTTCAACCTAAAGCACTCTGTTGAAACGATTAAAACAATTTGCCGTGCATTCCTGGTTGCATAGTGTGTACCGATCGCGGTGTGGATCACGTGATGTTCTTAAATCTCGCCTCTGTTGACTTACATGAAGAGTATATAAGCTCAGGTGGTCCTTTGCTTTGGTGTGACACTACAAGTTGTTCGATACTAAAGAGACCTTAAATAGGTGGAAACAGCTGTCAATACTTGAAGTATTTTAAGTTAGTGGAACGCACTAAAAACATTATCTCTAGCGAGTTGAAGGTTCAATTTTTTGGTAATATACTTGTAATGCGTCAAGGAACTTTGTTTCCTTTTTTCTGTGTAGTATGATTTAATTTGACCAAAAACACTGAAAAGGAGTTCAATTTACACCAGGTAAAATTTATTTTAATACTGTGTGAAAGTTAAATTTACACCATTTTAGTATTTGAATTTACACTGGACCAACGAACCATATTTAACACCATTTTGGTTTGTATCGATATAGACCATGTATGGTGTTAATTTGGTGTTAAAATGGTCATGAAATTTTAAACAGTGTATATAAAGCTGTATTGAGACTAATTTTTCTATGCAGGTAACTATGAAAACTGCAAAACCATCACTTTTTTAAGAAGTTTATTAATTAACGTTAATTTACAAGCGAGTTAAAATATATTTGGTAAAATGTAACTTGTTGGTTAAAAAAATATATCCAAATCCACCAAAGCTGGGCAAGATTCCTTACAATTGTGGGAATCTGAAATGGAAAACGGATAGGACGAAAGGATAAGAAGGGCATGGTTTGGTATGGAAGGGTAGAAGAGTAAAACAAACGCAGCGAACGTTTTCAGTAATTTGAACGCGGTTTCGGCTGATTGATAGTTCTGCTTGTCGCCGCCGAAAACGATATACAGAAATTTCCATTAATTTTCCTTGCTTCAAAGTCGAAGCGAATGTTTTATATTAGTATTCTCCTACCCGAACGCCTAGCCAGAATCAGCCGTGACGGATTGTTTTCATTCCATTCGCATCATCAATTATAAATTTTCTCGGATTATTAAAAGTTTCCACAAATTTCACTTGACGTTTGTTTTAAGATTATGCCTCAAGTATACTTGTATACTATAGGTATTCATGTTGGTAAAAGACACAATTCGCTTTGTCTTTAAAGGCTGTGATAAGGTCTTGCAATGGCCCTTTTCAGGCTAATATTGGTAAGAATATTTTACCATATATGGTGTGGTATACAGTATCAAGTTAACCATTTAAGTGCCAAATCTTTTCTGCATATAAAACTTACATGAACCTTTGCGCTTTTGAATAGGGCCAATGTTTCTTAACCTATTAACGCCAAAGTATTTTTTTTAAATTTTTAACATAATGTCTAGTTTGCCTTATATAGTTGGTCTATAAATAAATTTTTTGAAAAAAAAAATATTTTAGTGTTTTTTTTAACGTATGATATATCATACGCTAGGAAGTTAAAGGTACGATAAAATATAAAGAAAAAAATGTGAATTATTTTTTATTAATACCAAAATATACATACATTTCTTCAGTAGTTACTTTAAAATCGAGATTACCTTTATAGCCAGCATATTTCTGCGATTTCAAGCAAAAATCTTGCATAAAATTCTCGTCATAGAAGTTTCCATTTTTTATTCTCTCTACTATACTTGGTTGGAAAGAGTCTCGAAGGCTTATCTTTTCATTATTTGCAGTCAAAATTTTATTTTCCCAAGATTTTTCTTTTAGATTCTTTTTATTAATTTGTATTTGCTTCTTGCTAAGTTTAAATAAATCGGATAAGAAAATATTTTCTTTGTCTTCTTTAGTATTTTTTCTATCCATCATGGTAAATTCCTCCACAGCTTCATTTGTTTTCATTGTTTCTTTATCTTCCTCAGTATCTTCACTATCCATCATGGTTGTATCTTCTAAGGTTTTATTTGTTTCCATTACAGAGTCATATGTACTCAAATTTAATTGTTTTGTTCTTTTTTATTTTTATTTATCTCAAATTTTTTCATTTCATTATTATCTTTTAATGCATTTCAATCATTTTCTTTAAAACTCCCCTACCTAGATTATGCAATAGAAACGAGGATTCATCTTCTGGAGGTAAAATAATAAAAAACAAAAATTTAATATATTTTTTTTTCGGGGTTTGTTTTTTTTGCAATGTTATGTGTCGGTAAGAAGTGAAGCATCCGATGGTCCGGAATGTGACGCGCAAGAGGAATCGCAAATCGAACCAATAGAGATAGAAGCGAACACTTAATATCACTGTCGACGAAAAGTCATTTATCTTCCGCTGACTACGTAGAATGTAATTATCGGTATATTAAACACTGCGTACCGAAACGCAAGAATTACTAGATGTTCCGTTTACGTTTTTCTTATACAAAATGCTATCAATTACAGTACAGGGTATTATTCTTTTTTTATTCTGCAAATTAAAAATATCTCCTATGATATTTTTAATACCATACAGAATGGTGTTAGTAATAAAAAAATAATATTAATAAAATATATATTTAGAATCACATCATATAATAAAATTTTATAAAATAACGAAATCGAGATATAAACATTATACAAACATAAACTATATTTTTACATAAGAAATAAAAGTTATCACAAAAAATCACTAAGTTTTGTATCCTTTTTTCCACACTGTATCTTTCAAATAAGCCAACTGCCCATCAGCTAACAAATCCTCTACTAAATCAGTGAAACCCAATTCGCTAGCAATTCTATATTTGGTATGCACTGAAGGTAACTTTGATAAAACATTCTTCATGCACCTCAACTCCAGTGGAGTGTTAATATTCGCACTTAAAAATTTACGTGAGATGTTGTACACGATGGTTTCCGTCAAAGCCAAATGGTTGAGGTAATGTTCCAGATATGTGATGTTTCGCTTTAAAATACACTGCTCGTACAAAACGGTAGACCAATCTGGTTGATAGTTATAAGCCTGAGTTAAAATAAACGTTTGGTCGAAACTAAAAATAATAATCATGACGTATTAATTTTTTTATTATTAAAATAAACCAAAACTTACTTCAAGTAATTACTAATCAAAGCTATTATTTGAGGTGTACCCAGATTTAAAATACAATTTGTAGATCCATTAATGGGCAGTTTATTTAATAACGACATTTGCAACGCCAAAAGTTCTACTTGTTTGGCCGAACTCATTGCTTTTGCTAGTTTTTCGCCTTGCAAGTGAAACTCAGTAGCGTGGGTATAATTTTCTATAGCCTAAAACAAATATTCACTACTAAACCTATAGGATGTATCCTTAAATTAAAAAAAAATTATTTCTTAGTAATATGGATATGACTAAATTCACATAAATCACCAAGTTCAATTAACTAAACCCACATAATAAACCACTTACAAAAGAATCATAAAATAGACAAACTCATAGAAAAAGAATAAACAAAATATTGCGTAAATAACCACAGATTTGTTCTTTAAACAGTTCGGAATTTCATAACCAAAACAAACCTAAAGAAGGAATCTGTATTTATTTTATTGGTTACTGTGATGGCTACAAGATGGCGATAGTGTTAAAGTATATTTATTTTAGAATAGAAATATAATTTCGATTAAATCGATTTATTATAAGAAAAATAATACCGTTTATTATTGAATTTTGAAAAACGTGTGAAGTATAATTTATCTAAAATTCCGCAACAGTGTTGCCACAACACCTGCTTATTTCCTTGGGTGTGGGCGTGCCTGCCTCGCGTATGCTAATACGAGAGAAGGAGACAACTATGATATCGCATTGTAATAGAACGAGACAACAAGGCTAACGCCAATCGTGAGTCTAAATTAGTTCAGGCATGCTTCTGAGCCAATCATCTAGCTATAAATATTAGTTTAAATTGCGGTCGCTTCAAATTCAAATAATTTAAATCAAAAAATACTTGTTCTTAAATTAAGCTTACCTTATTTAAACAAATTTTCGTGCTTTCGGTGTTTGACAGCAAAATAAACGCTTCCAATTCAGGGTTAAGTTTGCTATTTTGCATCTCCATCTTGGAAATTTCGATTAAATTTTTAATCACGCTTTGAGCCTCTCTTTCCCATAAATGAGCTACCTCGGAGAACAGTGTAAAATGTAGTGCCACTATTTTGTATAGCTCGCGATTTTCAGGGCAGTATTTCTTCAAGTACTCCAACAGAGCTATTTTTAAAGCGCTGTCTTTTCTGGAGCCTTTTCTCAACAGAAACTCGAACTGGTCGTTTTCCCTTAGTATCTGGAACACATAACTCATTTCGGTGTATCTTGCTACACCTGTTAGCAGCCGCACGATCAACTTCCAACTTCTCAGGGTCAAAAGATTGGATATCACGCTTTGGCATTTTTTGAGTATGATGGAAATGCCTTCCATGTTGCAGTCGGTGGTGAAGCAGTTGTGGGAGAGAATCAATAGCTCTATCACCAACGCAAGTTCGCTTATTTTCACTTGCACTTCGCGTGGGGCCGTAATTTGGACTTTGTGCAACGCACTGGCGTATGAGTATATTTTGTGCCCCAATATGGAGCAGTTATCCTGCATTAATTGTAGAATTAAGTGGTAATTTTCGTTCACGTTTAAATCCCACATGGTGAACACCTCCTGTTTTGTTCTTATGTAGTTTGCGGTGGCTTGAACTATCTCTCCGCAAATTAAATCGGACACTTCCTCTTTTGACCACTTGAAGACGCCTATGAAGTCATGAACAACCTCTAGTTTATTCATGCAGTCGTCTTCCAGCGCATCTTTAAGCATCTTCATGTAGTCTGTGTTTAATACGAAAACCTGATACGGTATTTCAATGTTGATGCTTATTCGGTACGACATAAAGACGTTGTACGCCATTTCAGCACCGTTCGTCAACTGTTCTGTCAACGAATGCAACACCGCCAAGGTATCCTGAAAAGGCGCCTCTAGATTATCACTTTGCTGCGTGCCAGGGGAATGAGAACAGAACTTGAAGAACCTCTCCGACCAAAAAGTTTTTCTGTTGCTCAGTCTCCGAAAATTCGCACCTTTGGTCACCACAAGCAGTCTTTGCTGCGTGTTTAGTTGGTAGGGCAAAACAGCCCCCTCTGCCAAGCTGAAACACAGCTTGAGAATCTCAAGGTCGGCGCTGGAGCAGCCGAACATTTTTTCCAGCTTCAGCGCCAACCAGAAGTTGCTTCTGTTGAGAGACTCCACCAACATCCTGTTGAGATTACCTTGGTTGTCTTTGTCGAGCGTTTCACTGTATGGCGTGATTTGTACAACTTTCTCAAGCATTTCTTTGTAGAGTAAATGATGAGATACGACGTTCAAATCGTCGTAATTCTTGAGCTTCTCTTCCAGGTTCATAAATGAAAGCCACCTCTCAGTTTCTATGGCATACTGATTGGATAGATCGAACTTGCCGGCCCATTCCGAGGAATATTTCGTTATCAAATACTTCTCCAGGTTGTTATTTACGGTTTTATAACACCCCAAATAAAAATTTATCACGCAATCGGCCGTTACGTCATGTTTAAGCATGTCTTTGTTACACCTCTCCCAAAAATCACCATCATTGACATCCTTATTCTTGAAATTCCACTGCCACTTTTTGATTAGAATAATATCAACAGGTAAACTCTCAATCTCCGAGATCGTTAAAGCAGTCTCAAACTGATTCAAACTCAAAAGTTTATTAATACAGTCCACAACGGCTTTCCTGCTTTCAGCCATGGTCAACATAAGGCTGACATCGAACTTTACGTTGCACTTACCATCGTTCACAAGGCAGAGTATTCGGCATAAATTTTCAATATTCGGAAAATCTATGGAAAAATATTTATTAACTTTAAGCTTGCATAGCACCTTCAAAATTGCTATCTCCTGGTTTAGAGACTTGCAGTTGTATTGCAGGGTCGAGCATAGCAAGTGCAAAGCTGTGTCTTCCAGCCACAACCTGTTTTTGAGGTACGTCATTTCGTGATCTGTTTCAGTTAGCACGCTGTTCCTCCTGCATTTCATCATAGAACTCGAAAATGCGGTGAGTTTCGATTCAAGATAGAATGCGTCCAAGTTCATGTTTATGCATGAATTCAAGAACTCCAAAAAGTACCTCAATGGGCTATCCTGAAAAATTACTCAACAATGAAAAAAATCCTCATTATCAACTACTTACTGGAAGAAATATCTCGAAACTTTGCAGGAGGGTTTTTGGGTACTGATTGACCATAGCACTGTACAATAGGGTGGTTACCGATTGTGAGCATAAAGCTACAGCTTCGAAATTCGTAAACGTTTGATACATATCGGTGGACACCGCCAACCATGTCAACCAATTTGTGTGTAGAGAATCAGGCTAAAAATAAAATATTGATCAACTGTGTTGTTTTACTGCAAAACGGTTAAAGTTGCAAAAAGAAAAGAATAAAAGACTTTTATAGAAAATTCAACTACCAAGAAAAAAGGTTTAATACATTAATGCAATAAAATGTCCAGTTTAAAAGATATAGAGCATTTAATAAATTTTACTGTCAAATATTGATTAATTAATGGCTACTATGCTGTTTTGCGGCAAAACGGTTAAAGTTACAGGCAAAAAGTATCAAAGAATTTTATAGAAAATTCACGTTTCAACAAAAAATGCTTTATGCATTAAGGCAATAACATGCATAGTTTAAATGATATAGAGCATTTAATAAATTTTACTGTCAAATTAATGGCTACTATGCTGTTTTACGGCAAAACGGTTAAAGTTATAGGTAAAAGTAGAAAATACTTTTATAGAAAATTCAAATGTCAACAAAAAACTTCTTATAAAATAATGCAATAAAATGCATAGTTTAAAAGATATAGAGCATTTTATAAATTTTACTCTCAAATATTGATTAATTTATGGCTACTATTTTGTTTTACGGCAAAACGGTTAAAGTTACAGGTAACAAGTATAAAAGACTTTTATAGAAAATTCAACTTACAACAAAAAAAGTGTTATGCTTTAATGCAATAAAATGCATAGTTTAAAAGATATAGAGCATTTTATAAATTTTACTCTCAAATATTGATTAATTAATGGCAAAAATGTTGTTTTACGGTAAAACGGTTAAAGTTACAGGTAAAAAATAAAAAGACTTTTACAGAAAATTTAACTATTAACAAAAAACGTCTTACACATTAATGCAATAAAATGCATAGTTTAAAAGATATAGAGCATTTAATAAATTTTACTGTAAAATATTGATTAATTAATGGCTACTATATTGTTTTACGGCAAAACGGTTAAAGTTACAGGTAAAAAGTTAAAAAGACTTTTATAGAAAATTTAACTGTCAACAAAAAACCTCTTATAAAATAATGCTATAAAATGCATAGTTTAAAAGATATAGAGCATTTTATAAATTTGACTGTCAAATATTGATTAATTAATGGCTACTATGTTGTTTTACGGAAAAACGGTTAAAGTTACAGGTAAAAAGTATAAAAGACTTTTATAGAAAATTCAACTTTCAACAAAAAACGTTTTATGCATTAATACAATAAAATGCATAGTTTAGAAGATATACAGCATTTAATAAATTTTATCTACTCCTACATTGACGAGCTGTCACTTTATGGCGTTTTATTGACGGGCTGAAGTTAACAACAGTGGCTTTTCGACATTTTACGTCACGGGCTGAAATTAGCTTTATTATAAATTGGGAAAAAGTGAGGTTAAACTCGGGTGACAGTTGACAGATGTCAAAATTTTAAGAAATAAAATTGGCTTTATGCAACTCGTTTATAAACTTCTCTAGACACTCGTTTTTATTAAACACTCGCTCGCAAGCTTCGCTCGTGCTTAATTAAACTCGTAACTAAAATGGTGTTTATAAAACTTGATACATAATATACTATTACTGTCAAATATTGATTAATTAATGGCTACTATGTTGTTTTACGGCAAAACGGTTAGTTACAGGTAAAAAATATAAAAGACTTTTATAGAAAATTCATCAACTTTCAACAAAAAACGTTTTATGCATTAATGCAATAAAATGCATAGTTTAGAAGATATACAGCATTTAATAATTTTTACTGTCAAATATTGATTAAGTAACGGCTACTATGTTGTTTTACGGAAAAACAGTTAAGCTACAGGTAAAAAGTATGAAAGACTTTTATAGAAAATTCAACTACCAAGAAAAAAGGTTCAATACATTAATGCAATAAAATGCATAGTTTAAAAGATATAGAGCATTTTATAAATTTTACTGTCAAATATTGATTAATTAATGGCTACTATGTTGTTTTACGGAAAAAACGGTTAAAGTTACAGGTAAAAAGTATAAAAGAATGTTATAGAAAATTCACGTTTCAACAAAAAATGTTTTATGCATTAATGCAATAAAATGCATAGTTTAAATGATATAGAGCATTTAATAAATTTTACTGTCAAATTAATGGCTACTATGCTGTTTTACGGCAAAACAGTTTAAGTTACAGGTAAAAAGTAAAAAAGACTTATAGAAAATTCAATTTTCAACAAAAAACGCTTCATACATTAATGCAATAAAATGCATAGTTTAAAAGATATAGAGCATTTAATAAATTTTACTGGCAAATATTGATCAATTAATGGCTACTATGTTGTTTTACGGCAAAACGGTTGAAGTTACAGGTAAAAAGTTTAAAAGATTTTTATATATTTATATAATAAAATGCATATAGATATAGAGCATTTTATAAATTTTACTGTCAAATATTGATTAATTAATGGCTACTAGGGTTTTAAAGTTTTGGAAAAAAACGGAAAAATTGGGGAAAAAACTTTTTTTTCCGTTTTTTCCCAGGCCTTGGAAAAATTGGCTTTTTTGGGGAAAATTGAATTTATTTTTTGGAAAATATACACATTTGAAAAAAATTAGTAATCAACAACTTAACATTATTTTAAATTAAAAAAATCCTTTATTACAAAAAAAATAAAACTAAACATAAACGTGAACGTGAAGTATACTGTCTGTTGGGTTTTTTTGTTGCAAAAAGGAGTCCATTAAAAATATCTAACTACAAAATAATGAATGTTTATAAAGTTAAATTACAAAATTATAATTTTATAAATCAAAGTGTTAAATAAAAGTTATGCACCGAATATGTTTCTTTTTGTGGCCCGGTAGAATATTCTTACTGAATTAAAATAAAATAAACAATTATTATAATCATAATATTTTATGATTATAAACAGCGTCGGAAATTTACTTTTTTCTCGATATCAGTGTACGGATACTCTCCGTAAAAATTTGGAAGTTTTCAAAAAAATTGCATTTTTTCGTATAACCCTTTGAATAAAATTTAGACAATTAAAAAGTCGATATTTCTGAAAATTTCTCAATTTTTCCGTTTTTTCCGGAAAAAAACGGAAATTTTAAAACCCTAATGGCTACTATGTTGTTTTACGGCAAAACGGTTAAAGTTACAGATAAAAAGTATAAAAGAATAATAATAATAATAATAATAATGCTTTATTGAACTAAAACCAAGTTCAAAGGCTATTGACCGTAGTCCTTCAGCCGATGAGTTTACAATAAATTTTGATATAAGTATAAATATAACATTTAACAGTATAATCGTAACATTTATAAAATCAAGGTACTTATTTAACAAAAAAAAAAAAAAATACATCTAGTGTTATGGAGCATTATGGAATTTTAGTATAAAAGATTTTTATAGAAAATTCAATTTCCAACAAAAAACGTTTTATACATTAATGCAATAAAATGCATAAGTAGTTTAAAAGATACACCCAACAAAACATATTACCTCATAGCTGGTGGCCAAAATGGCCAACAGCGGATTTCTATACAGTTGGCACGCCTGCAACAGGGCCCTGGGCGGATCAGTGCTGTTGTGACATCTAATCAAAGTCTGCAACAGAGTCGCCTTGGTGTTCACAATGTCGATTTCGAGAAAATCCGAACCCGTAGAGCTGGCACCGCTGCCTACGCTGGATTGCGACGTCATGCTCGAGTAAACCGAATCCGATACGCTCGGGTTATCCACGCTTTTGCGCACCCCGATGCGCGACAAGAAGTACTTCCTTGAATCGCGTTCTCTCATCAAAGCGTTGGAATCTTCGATTTGAATGTCGTGGCTTACACTGTGAATTACGTGCTCCAGCAAATTCGGGTTCTTCAGCGATTGCAAACACGACTTTATTTGGTCTATAGGGTAATTTTTTATCTGCGCGAATATCAAGAACGGAAGCCACATGTTACGCGTGGCGCAGTTTTTGAGAAAACCCTCCGGATATTTGAGGTTATAAACCTCGGCAAACTTGAAAACGATTTCGTAGCTCTTAATGCTCCCCACGAAAACATCATTCTCACTGAAATCTTTAAAATTGATACCATCCAAAATTAAATCCTCCAATTTCAATAGAACGTTGTAAGCGTCGTTTGGAAGTCCAAGAAATAAACCCATAACCTCACTTTCATCGTAATCACCGGTTAAAATGTTCGCAGCCTCTAAAGATACTCTTAAAATATCGGAATTTTCCCCAATTATTTCCAGAAATGCCACACAACTTGAAGTTACCTCAGAATTCGACAAATTTTTAACAGCTAATTTAAAAGTCTTACTAACAACTTTATTTTTACAAATTAAATCACAGCTGTTTGCAAAATATTGACTTGCCGCAAAAGGTCTGCCCTGTTTAAGGTAAAACAAGTAATTCACCGTTTTTGTATAAAAATACTTTTTATCGATGTTATTGAAAGTAAAATTGGGAATAACCTCATTTGAAAACCTAAACTTGAACAAATCTTTTATATCTACTTGCAGATTATTTTCCAGCAAATCATAATAAGTCAACGTATTTGCCACCTTTCTACATCTTTTATGGTAAATAGTTTTTAGAAGCCCCAAATTATTGAAAACTTTTTCCGCTGCTTCATACAGTGGTACACCACAAATATTCAATATTTTGTTGGCGAAAATGTCCTCAAATTTAACATCCTTCCCAAAAATTATTAACGCCAACATTAAAACATAATTATCCCCCAAATCTTGCGATAAAAATTCCGATACCTTAATAATATTACAACAAAGCAAATCCTCATTAAAATCATCAATCAACATCCTCGAATTCAAAATTACACCCAACTGTTTAGACTTTCTTTGCTCCCAAACGCCTTGCAAATCAAAACCCTCAACGCACACATTAAAAACATAAAACAAATCGTTTTCAACGCAATAATCGTGCAGCAAAATTAAAAAATTATTAATACTAATATTCGAGTGGGTTTTCCTTAAAATATCGTAAATATGTTCCACATTATCACATTTGTTTAGTCTTATCAAAATATTTAAAAACTGTTTGCTATCCGCCTCGCTAAATATACCAAATTTGCTGAATTCGTTCAAAATCGTTTCACTGGTGTTGGGGGACGTTATTTTGTTGTTCAATAAATTCAGCATCTCATTGGAGAGAGAAAACGCTTTAAACATGGCAAGAAGATTGTCTGACACGTTGTAACTATCTTTAGGGCTGTTAAACCTCACATTTATCCAAGTTTTGAGCAACTTTGTGTCATTGTACACTATTAGTTGCCTCCAAAAACTTTCAGCGCTAAAATAGGTGCACAACTGCATGTCTAAAATATAATAATTTTTTTTTTAATTACATTAATAATTTTTTGGGCAAACCTTGAGTTCTCAAAAACAATTTGGCCGCTATTTCATTTTTCCAACTCTCTTCCTGACCATCCAGACATTTTAAGCTTTCTTCTGGCAGTTTAAACTTGGAAATGAGTATATTGTTCTTCAAAATCAACTCTAATAAGTGCCATAGGGAAACCAAATCATCCCCAAGTTTCTCATTTTTTACCAAATGATTTCCAATGTAATCTCTCAAGTCTTTGTTGTTTGTAGAGTAAAATATTTTCTCCAACTCCCCATTGGGGTCCAACTTTATGTTGTTTAGAATGTGACAAGCTTTAAAAATCTGTTTTCTTGTTAACAACTCATCAACCCATAATAAAACCTAAAAACTTTCCTGAAAAAACAACAATCTTCTACCTGAAAAATATTACCTCACTCTCAAACCATTTTTTAGCTTCATCAGCTTTAACTTTCTTTTTGAGTGTTAAAAATACAATCACCAAGTGTAGATGTCTTCCTTTGGCTGCTGCCTCTCTAGCCACTTCTCTGTCCCCTTTTAAGCACCATCCTTGCCACACTGCAATATCTTCTTTGGTTAAAGTTGGGGGAGGCACAGGGTTCATATACTGAAACATAAAATATTATTCATGTTGATAAATAAAAAATCCAGTTTACCTCCTGAGGCCTTCTGAATGGACTCTGCATAATTGATTTTTTTTCTGTTTTTTACATTATTAATTGTGAATCACGCTGCTTTATCTGTAAAACTTTTATTTGATAACAAATTTATATACATCACATGTTTTGTTTTGATCGTTTGACAGAATTGTCAACCTCACTTATTTGTTGCCAACTTCAACTGAATGTCTTTTTTAACACTTACAATAAACATTTATTTTAATTTAATTAATATTATGTGATGACGATGACCTTTTTCATCATAAAAGGTAAATAAACTAATTTGTTGTTGATTTGATGACGTTTAAATACAGATTTCTACAATTACAGATTACAGATATCTACAATGACCTGGTTGTTTTATTTTAATTAAAAATTCGTTAACCAAAAATACTTAAATATTAATACGTATATGCTATTAAATTTTACATTAAAATTAATATGTTTACTAAGTATATGTGCTAATTGACGATATATAGGACGTTTATTATAGGCTAACTAAAATATTCATAGATGTCGCTGGTGCGTAATGTTGAAATGTCATTTGTGAAATGGTCCAGTAAGAAGTGACAGGAGTGGCAAAGACAAATATTAATATTTGTCTTAAAATAACACCAATACCTAACGAAATTAGTGTGGAAACTAAGAAACAATCGATTTAAAATTAGTTTTAAAAGTTTCTTTAAAATGGCAGGGGAGGCAAGCCAAAAGAAAAAAGGAAAATTATCTCGGCAAGAATCCTCAAAATCTGCGAAAGAATCGGAAATTGACATCGATAGGCCGATTGCTGGTGCCAGCAGTAATCAGGACAAAACTAGAAGTGGCGTTAGAGTTTATAAAATTGTTGTGTTGGGGGACGGCGGTGTTGGGAAATCGGGTAAGAGAATTTTCTATTGCTATGTGAAAAGTTTTTGTTATTTATAGTTTTCGTTTAGGGTTTAATACATCTGTTTACATATCATGTAGGGTTGGGTAAATTCCTCTTTAAATTCCAAGACAAAATTTTCTTTACCATTTTTTCGAATTTGCAAAAATGTAGGAGTTATTTAACTTTTAAAGCCGCAAATGAGACGATTTGTAATCCGGGTTGCCTACCTACATTCGACCTTGTTGGATTAAACCTTAACTCATCCAAGTGAATAATAATAACATTGAGTACTCAATGTTAATAAAATCTGACTTCTGTCAAGAGTTAACCTCACTTTTAACCAATTTTAAATGTTATCATAGTAGCCTTCTTTCAATTTAAAACCTGATTGGTTCAAATCACAGTAAATATTGAAATCGGCCAATCACTGATGCCTGGCAACGTGAATAATGAGTTTATTATTCCCGTTGTTTTTGAAATATAGGTATATTTCAGTTTGTATGCATTTTACGAAAAAATTAAATGATTTGAGGGGGAAAGCAATCAGTACTAAAAAAACTGACGTCGCAGTTCTCAACCTATACTTAAAACTAAGTAAAAAACTTAGACTGTGGTGGGGAAGGAATCCTCTACTTTGTCAATGAAATATATTTTATTGTAAAAATGACGTTTATAAATAAACCTCATTTTTGTCTAATTAATATTTCATTGATCAGCAAGAACCACGTGAAGGTCAACAATATCGGTACAATTTCTCACCGTAATATCCATAATGACTAAATTCACATAAATCACCAAGTTCAATTAACTAAACCCACAGAATAAAACACTTACAAAAGAATCATAAAATAAAAGACAAACTCATAGAAAAAGAATAAACAAAATATTGCGTAAATAACCACAGATTTGTTCTTTAAACAGTTCAGAATTTTATAACCAAAACAAACCTTAAGAAGGAATCTGTATAATTTTGATTAAATCGATTTATTATAAGAAAAATAATACCATTTATTATGAATGAATTTTGAAAAACGTGTGAAGTATAATTTATCTAAAATTCCGCAACAGTGTTGCCACAACACCTGCTTATTTCCTTGGATGTAGGCGTGCCTGCCTCGCGTATGCTAATACGAGAGAAGGAGACAACTATGATATCGCATTGTAATAGAAGGCTAACGCCAATCGTGAGTCTAAATTAGTTCAGGCATGCTTCTGAGCCTATCATCTAGCTATAAATATTAGTTTAAATTGCGGTCGTTTCAAATTCAAATAATTTAAATGTTGCTGGGTATTCCACGTATAAAATCAATCAATTTTATTGACTATCGACTTAAAAATGTATAGTATATTATAGAAAGTAAAATAATATTTCAATATTATTGTTTTAGCTGTAACTCTGCAATTTGTTAGTCACAGTTTTTTAGATTATCACGATCCAACAATAGGTAAGTAATGTTTAATTTGTGATTGAAAAAATGTAATATAATTTAAAAATTGCAGAGGATTCTTATCAGCAACAAGCTGTTATAGATGGGGAACCTGCTTTGTTAGACATTTTAGATACTGCTGGACAAGTAAAAATTAAAGAAAAATGAAATGAAAATCGTTATTGAACTTGACTTGTTTTTAGGTTGAATTCACCGCTATGAGAGACCAGTACATGCGGTGCGGTGAAGGTTTTTTAATATGCTATAGCGTGACGGACCGTCACAGTTTTCAGGAAGCTTTGGAGTACAGAAAGCTCATACAAAAAGTGAGGGCCACCGAAGACACGCCTTTAGTCTTAGTAGGCAACAAGTTCGATCTCCAAATGCAACGAAAAGTTTCCACCGACGAGGGAAAATCTTTGGCGAGACAGTTCGGTTGCCCTTTCTACGAAACCTCGGCTGCATTACGTACCTATGTTGACGACGCTTTTCACACGCTAGTGAGGGAAATTCGTACTAAAGAAAGGGAACGGTTCGGCGTCCAGGACAACGATCGTAAACCCAACAGACACAGCAAATGGTGGAGACTACGGAGCATATTCGCTCTTGTATTCAAACGCAAAAGACAACAAGCTGGTTATACTTCATAGGTAAGTTAAATAACCGCGTTATACCCTAAAGAAGTATCGATAGTAGCGCCACCACTCGGCTGTTAGCACAACTTTTGATAATCAGCTGTCAAACGCGTGTGTTACAAGCGAGTGTTTTTGAGAATAAATTTATAAAGTTAAATTTTTTTAAACTCAAAACAATTGATAGTCAACGTAATATTTTAAATATAAATGCAACAGTAACAATTTATGTTTAAAAATATTGATTTTTAAAAGTTTTGTTTATAATATTTTATCCTACAAAATTATTTGTTTAAATTTTAAGTCATTTAAATGATGGTTGATAAATTTTTAATACAAAAATTCTCACATTACATTTACATTTAAGTTTTAAATTTTAAAGTAGTAATTTTTGGATTAAAAATTTATCGACAATCATTTAAATGACTCTTTACAAATTTAAACCAAAATTTTTTATTTTCAACAATTTCAAAGTGATATATTTTAAGACAAAATTTATAACTTTACATTTAAATGCAAGTCGATAATTTTTAAATTACAAAGTGTAAATGTAGCTTTAGTAGAAGGCACAAAGTCTGGGATCGGAGCCACGATGCAGCCAGTTTGATCCGCAGGGTTACAAAATCGTGCTTGCTCCATAAATATTTGAAGCGTCTTAGAAATTATCGTATTGAAATGTTTCTTTATTAAATAAATTTAATTATAGAAGAACAACATTTTTAGTGCCTATTGTACCAAGATAATATGACAATTAAAAAACATTTTTTCTAATTTTTAATGTCTTTTAAATACTAAAAAATTTAACTTTACCAAATTAATCTCAATAATTTTATAAAAAAATTATTTAAGTTTACAAAATGCCACACAAATAAATTATACCTACTTGGGAAATTATTTTTATTAAAAAATGATAGTTAGAAATTTTTGCAAAAAATGGTAGAAAATAATATTGTTTAATACAGAAGTCAACTGTTAGTTAGTAAATTTTGTCTTTCAATACATGATAGTTTAAAAGATTTTAAATTTATAAATGTAAACCTAAAATTTTTAGTTAGGAAAATTTTAAACCAATAAAATTTTAAATTAAAAAATTATTTAATAAATGTTAAAACGGCGTGCCATAGGTTTTCCAATAAACAGTGTTAATCTGAATGAAGAAATAAATTTTATACAGTCCCTGTAAATATAAATTGTACCTATTAGATACAATAAATACACATTTTAGTAGTGATTAACGTGAAAAGTGTAAACATTTAAATTCAGTAATAATCGTCAAACAAATAAGTCGTCTAAATTTAAACAGCATTTAGCATTATTAAAAGCGTTGATTAAGAATTCTTTAAAATCTCCACTCAACGGTAAAATACCATTATATTATGTATTATATATTATATTATGTTACCATGAATTCGTAGGTATATTTTGTTGTTTAAAATGCAGTTGTCGGAGTTTTTTAGAGATCTCAAATATAAAAATGGTTGATTTTAAGGTTATGTTTGTGCAAAAATTATTTTTTACTAATTTCTTAAAAATGTCAAAACTTAAATATAAATTATATTGGGTAAAGTTATCATTAGTTAATTCTGCACTTACCGAATTGGATCCTTTGGCAAAACATGAAAATGCAACGATTTAGTTCTTGAATTTTATTTACAATTAAAAACGCAATAATTCACCATGATCCCTTAGATAAAATACACACACTAACGTAACTATATAAGCGTTTAAGCGTTGAGTTTCTTAATCAATGATATAAAGAATAATCAATCGAAATCGAGTACTAAACCAGTTTTTTAGTTTTTTCCTTGCAACGTAAAACACAAATAACGTGCGCGATTTACCTGTGCAATTGGACAAAATTCTGCCTTCCTCTCTTTTGTGAAAAAACGACCTATTTATTTAAAAATGATGTACAGTTCGTATGCTTTAAATGTATTGTTGACAATTCTTAAATTCACGCAATGCTTTTGCGTTGCGAAAACCCGATACTTCTTAAGCGTATTAAGCCATAATATTTTATGTAATGAAGGACTGATCACATGGTTTCTTTAGGACGAAATATTGGAGGTAGTTTCACAAAATCCACCTGAAGAATTCACCTCGACGTAAGTACAATTTACTAATGTGGGTTTTGTAGAAGTGCGTTTTTTATAGATTGTATTTTTTTACAACAACCACAAGACTTAGTATTGATTTCAAGTCAAAGGTTGATTATGTACAGGCTTTGACAAACTTAATTCTAGTCATTAATGTATTGGTATTTTTTGATAACATGGGAGCTCTATTATTTATTTTTCATCAAGTACCACACAATTAAAACAATGGTTTTTAATTCGCCCTGTATATGATCAATCGATTTTATCACTAAAAATACTAAAGAGTACTGCCAGGGGTCTTTGAATGTTGAATCAGGGAGAATATACGTTTTACCCAGGTTTTGGGTATCGAAGTATCTAACAAAGAATTTAAATGTTAATAAAGGTAAATTGTTATCTGTTGAATCGATTTAACAATCATTAAATCTAATATTAACCATAGTCTTTCGGGAATTTATCATAATAAGAGTGTTTGTATGTAAATTCGCCCATTAATTGAATGTTAGTTATAAAAACCCGTATGTGTGTCCAGATTGTTGCATTTATTATTAGATAGATATAACTGATTGTAAACTAATTCGGATAAATAATATAAACTGTGTTTTTAGGGTATAGGTAATTTTATCTATATATTTTTTTATAAAACTTAATACCTAGTGGTGTCATAGGTTATGTCCTTATGTTATACAAGATGTCCTTTAAATGTCCTTTACAAAATAATAACAACACGGCTGTTATCATCGTAACAAAAGTACAACTTTTGATAATCAGCTGTCACCAACCATTGTTATTGTGATACTATAAAGATTTATTAACTTTTAACGCTTAAACATAAGCGGTAACACTATAAATATTATTTCTTTCATTGACTATACTTTGACAGATACATAACCTGAAAAGCCTTAGATGCCAAATTTTCAATAGACTGCGTTCCGTACGTGGTCACGTGGTGGGACTTTGAGGTGTCGAGCATAGTACTTCATCACAAACGTTTTTGTTATTATTATAATTATTCACGTTTAAATGAAAATATTGGGCATTTCAGGGATACCTTGTATAATAAACCACAAATGGGAATAATCATAATCCACAAAAGGTCTGTTCTATCTCGTTAGGCGCATACTAAAATCATGAAGTTAGGCAACCAACCCGACAGATTTAAACAGCGGCCATTTTTATGTTGTTTACAATTATTGTGCTGTTAATACAGATTAATACGTTTTAAACGTTGTTTTTTAACTTTTCTTTTCTTTTGTAAAAATTTAACCCTATTGCATCAGGTTTGTCATGTTTGAAATGTCAATTTTAAGGTGTGAAAAATTTGTGGGTTATGATAAATTAACCTTAAAATTGACATTTGATAGTTTGTGATTTTTAGTAGGTGGGAAACGAGATGGGACAGATCTTGTTTTGGTTGGTCCAAAAGAAATCTGCAATAAAAAATTAAATTTTACATTTTACACATGCAGAAAGAAAACTTAAGCAAACTTAAGCATAATAACCAACTAGGTATTTAGGGTGTTAAAACAATGCATATTGTTTAAGTTTTAATCACAGAAAAAAAAATATTTCTTCACACATTTAATTTTCGTAATGCATTATAGAAACACCCGGTATACATCTTTATTGTTATTGGACCAAAAATCGTATAATGTGTTAAAAATTCTAGAGGCTTTAATTTTTTTATTTTAAAAAGTACCTGCAGAAATTTTTAATATTGACCGTTAATAATTTTCCACTTATTTGTGCAATATTTATTTGACTACAGCAATTTTTTTAGCTGTGTAGTTTAGTAGAATAACAAATTTTATTTTGACGAAATTCAGAAATTTTGTAGGTTTTAGATGAACAGCAAATTCATTAAAATGTAAAGCTAGTCAAAAATGTTGAATCTGTAAATTTGTAAATATATATAAAAAAGCAATAATCAAGATTTATTTGTTAATATATGCTAAAAATTACTTATATATGAAAAAACAAACAAGCTTTAACTAATTGTTACAAAACCACTTCCAAGTTGCTGCCTGTAATTAAAACGACCAGGAAGATTAAATAAAATTTTTATTTGTGTTGGCAGAAAAATATTAGATAAGAACAATCTCGAATAACTGTCAAAAATGACGTAAAACAACGCACATAAATCTACAAATAACAGATAACTAAATAATATATAATTTATATATTGAATATATAATAACAAAAATATTGATTTTGCAAAATTTATGGCAGCTTCCATTGTTATAACATTAGCTACACTAACATGTTTTAATTTAAAATAAATCATTTAGGTGTGACTAGTAATAAAGTATTGTTAATTTATATGCACTATTTACAACAAGTCATCACTAATTTAATAAAAAATATTGATAATCAAAATAGTGCGTGTAAATTAATGTATTGGTGAATAAACCAAAATGTTGATAATTTACAATTAAGGGCCTTGTAATAAAATAATTCCAAGGCCATTAATTATTGTGTGTTTATATATTTTCTTGTTGATTTTATACTATTTGTTTTTTTTGTTAAATTAAACGAAAGTCGTATTTATTTTTAATCTAAAACTTCCAACAATTGGGTTTACAACTTGCAATGAATATAATTTATTATATCAAGTAACGAATATTTTATGCTTTAATTTAATCTTAATCAAAATAAAATATTTGTTGTGCCATTTTATTAAACTAAATTAAAGTATCCATATATCATATTTAAGTGAGCTAGTCTGTTTAATTTAAAATTTAACAATCACAATTCCAAAGACTGATTATATGTTTTGCTTATTTTAATGCAAGTTGTAATGTTTTTACAAAGTTGTATTAATTAATATAGTATTATTTATTAATTTTTATATAACAATAAAAATTTAAAAAACTATTTCGTGTTTTCAGTTGCCCATTTCATTAAATATTTTCTCAAGCTGTCCTTTTCCATTTTATCACAAAACGTGTAGTCAATGGTATCATACGATATTTTCCACAGGTTATGTTTGGTAAAATTGAATAATCTCGAGATAACCTCAAATTCCTGAGACAAACTCGTACAAAAAACGCCTTTGTCATCAGTCTAAAAGAAACTACATGAAAAAATCGTATTTCAAAATATTGCCTTAAATATGTACATTTATACAGAAAGGGAGCTCATTTTTTATCCATTCCTGTACATGATGTTTTTCGTAACTTTCAGAGCTACCACAGACCACATTTGAGGTTAGGCAACATTCTAAAACATGACCAATAAATACGCAGGATGTTATAACTTTGTCCACATGTTTTAAGACACTCTGTATAATATTAAACATACTTACCGGTGGGTATTTTAAGCTTTTTATATAAATCCCAAATATCTTGGCTACCCCCATAACCAGGATGAATGCAAGTCCCATGCCCAATCCTGTCGGGTTGAATTTTTAAAATATCCTTTACTTCCGCATTGTTTTTGACTTCCCCGCAATGTATCGCCAACTTTAACCCGTTTTCCCTGGCTTTCAAAAACAAATCGCCGCAAAATTTCCCCTCATTTGGATTTCCACATAAATCCACCCCTCTTATGATATTCGGATACCTTTCCTTCATTTTAATGATTAAATCTAAAGCTTCCTCGGATACTTCTTTGGAATGACTTCTATCCAATGATAACAATAACTTAACTATAATATTATTCTTATTATCTATTATAGCCCTCACTACAGCTTCTATATATTGTTCTTTGGTCATTGTCGATTCTGATCGAGGAGTGGTTCTTAACTCCAGATAAATCACATTTTCAGCACTGAAATCCTGAATAACACATTTTGTAGCATGATAAACGGATTCCACATTGTTTGTAACATTGTGTGCTATTTTAAACAACTCGAAGCAGTCTTCAAGGGTTTTTTCAGTTTTTCCAAAGATTTTGTTCAGTTTTTGGTACTCCTCTACATTATTAAACTGACAGCCCAATTCTTCAAGCGTTTTTTCGCTCAAAGAACCGTTCAAATGGGCATGTAACTCCTTAAAAAATAATTTTCCAATATATTGATCGTATTTTCAAGGTTTTTCGTGTTTAACTTACAATTTTTGGAAGATTTTCGCAGTATGCGTCCATCTCGCGTATTTCTTATCACTAAATAAAATTAGGATAAGATAAGCATGAATTATTGGATTCTTCACAGAACTGCGCACAGAGAACTGCGGAATTATTATTGTTTACATTTATTTGAGGTTAGAAGAGTTTGCAGCTTTGCCAACCCTAGGGAAATTTCCCTATTCTAGGGAATTTTTCTTATCTTCGACAATGAATTTGTTAAAAACGATAAAAGAAACATAATTAATACATTATTGATTATTAATTAAAGTTATCTATCTGTTATTAACGCTAATTTTGTCCAATTTTCGATTCATAAGAGATGGCAATGTAGTCGAAGAAATTACACTTTTGTCGATTCCTAAGAGATGTCGCTGTAATCGACAAAATTATTTCTTTTTCGATTTTTCCTTTGACGTCCGATATTACTTAAATGGTTGGTTTTTCGATAAAATCTTAAAGACATTTTTTATGGAGCGGAAAATTTCCTACAAAAATATGTCTGAAGTAATGCTGTACGACTATTTGCCAGCACGTTATGCAATCTTTAAAAATCACTTTTTTGTTTCATAATTATTTTTGGGTTAAAAAAATCACCCTGTATGTAGGTACATATAATTTTCCTGAATACACTTCGTAGCTCGAGGCAACAAGGAAAACATAATATATTATGTTTGAACTCGAAAAGTAATAATTTAACAGAAAATGTGGAGAATGTAGCGAATGCATAAATATTTAATAAAAATTTAAAAAGTTTTTGAAGAGCTTCCATAGAAAATTTAATATTTGATTGTGTGAGGTACAGACAAATTTACATACATATAATTTCAGATTTTTTACAGCAAATATTTCAGTTCTTTTTTAAAATTTATTGGTTTTTATCATATACCTACTTACCTATAACTATAAGTTATAGGTATATGGTTTTTATACGCTACTACAGTGCTGTAGGTGTATAGGGGGGTAAAGCTACTTGAGGTTAATTTTGTCTAAATACGAATAAATTTCCACGTCTAGCATTTGTTATATAATAATTTAAAGATTAGCACTTTAATGATGTTTTAACAGAAAGAAGCTCAAAAATATTGATTTTTAAAAATGTTGGTACAAATATTTTATTCTACAAAATTATCGGTTTAAATTTTTGGATTAAAAATCATTTAAATGACTTTTTACAAATTTAAACCAAAACTTTTATTTTTAACAATTTTAAATTGATAAAATTCATTTTTTTTTCTGGACTGCGGCAACGTTGCAAATTTAGGGTTTCGGTTGGTAAATACAGTTGTCAAGTTGGTCGCATTGATTAAAACAAACTAAGCTAGTTATAAATCTAATTGTGGTTATGTATAAAATATTGTGGGTTACATTGTGCAGTTGTCAAGTTGAGTTGTCGAAATTCGTAGTTAAAAATGCAATTAATTTGGCTTTGGTGGTGCTTGGATGAGTAAAATCGTATAAAAAAAGTAGTTAAATATAGGTTGCTTTACGGCCCAGAAGAGAAAGTATTCCTATCGGATAATAATCTTCGCTTTGAAAAGAATTTATAAAAAAGAAATTAAAATTTTTTGAACGTAAATGCTGTTCAATGGTGAATAATGTGAAAATAATGTGTGAAGTAATATTTATAAAACCAAATTCGTTACTTTTTTACTCCAGAATGTCCATAAGGCGATGTACTATTTCTTCCATTGTGGCATTTGGCATAATTTCATCAAAATGAAGTTTTGCGCTCAAAAGGGCTTTTACATTCGAATTCGTTGCTATTATTTTTGGCATAATTATCTTTTTATTTATAATTGACTAGTAAATTATCAATAATAAATATTATTGTCAATTTGACAGTGTCAAAGTATTTAATTAAATTCTTTAGCAGAAGTACCATTTTTAAATACTAAAAATACCAAATCAAACTGGCATAAGCCACCAACCTAACAAAAAAACACGAGTCCAGATAAAAAAAATAATTTTTTATTTACAAAGTGTAAACGTAGCTTTAGCAGACGGCGTACGCTGTCTCTTTCTAGAAGTCTGTAGCATATGCAGTCAGCTGAAGCCGCGTTTACACTTTCTGAATTAAAAATTATCGACTTACATTTAAATGTAATGTTAATATGTTTGTGGTAAAAAAATTATCAATTTAAATTTGTTAAAAATAAAAGTTATTGGCCATTTTCAAAATTCTTGTACATTTAAAGAAAAAAAAGTAAAAACAAAAACTTAATCTACAAACCTGTTTTTTCTTCAAATTTTGTTTATTTAGGGGTGTTATTTAACACCTAAAAGTGAGCAGTTGGATTTTTATAAATAAGCCCTTAAAAAAGAAAAAAATTGTTCCCCTGGGTCACAAATTTACTAACATATTAAAAAAACTTACCTATATAAAAATGCTTAGTTATTTTGAAAATATATTTTTTTGCTTGTTAATAATCCTTTTAAGGATTTGTTTAAAAAAGAACATCTATGTTATAAAAAAAATGTACTAAGTAAAAGCAAAAACTATGTTATATTTCTAAACTTTCTTACATGTAAGAAAGTTTAGAAATAGAACATAGTTTTTGCTTTTACTTAGTACATTTTTTTACACAAGTATTTTTAATACATTTTCTGTAGGTATTTAAAAAATGTCCATTAAAAAAATGAGTTTAAGAAATTTTCTTTTAATGCGTATAAAAACGTTTTTTCTTGATTGCAGGTTATACAATTTAACGAGAAATAAATTAATTAAAGTTTTAGATATTAGTAATAATAATAAAATGTCAATATAAACATTTTTTCGTTGAACTACCAAAAAAATTTTTTCAGCTTCTTTGAGGCAAAATACATTGACTAGGAAAATTATTATTAAAAAGGTGGAAGACATTATTTTGACTACGTACTGTCAGAAACAGAAACGGTGGAAGGTCGAAAAAAATGTTTTTAAATCTTTCCTATAAGTATATTATTATTTCAAAAATATATTATAATTTATTTCTTTGGAATTGTCCCCTGGGTCACATAACTTTCCCCTGGGTCACACAATATGTGATCCAGGAGACGTGTGACCCAGGGGAAAAATGTTTTTAGAACACTCTTTACTGTTTTAAAGATAAAAATTTGTATTTTTGCCTTTAAAACCATTACTAGGATACTTACTTTTGAGAATCAAACAAAGTCCAACTGGTACCTTTACTAATTTTTGTTACTGCGACAGTTTTGTCACGCTGGTATAAAAAATACAAAAAAACGTCTTGTGGCTTCAAGATAGTTAAAAACGCCATTTCCTACTAAAATCCGTTACCAAATACATTGTCGCAAGGGGGCAATACCAAAAAATGTGCGCTCAATTCAAAAGGTCATTTATAAAAGTTGTGACCCAGTAGACGTGACCTAGGGGACCAAAATTACAGGACAAACTTTAGGGGTTATTTTAACCACTTGAATTTTTAAAAATTATCACACTGTTTTCATGACCATTTTAACACCAGATTAACACCATACATGGTCTATATCGATACAAACCAAAATGGTGTTAAATATGGTTCGTTGGTCCGGTGTAAATTCAAATACTAAAATAGTGTAAATTTAACTTTCACACATTATTAAAATAAATTTTACCTGGTGTAAATTGAACTCCTTTTCAGTGTTAAATATTATGTGTTTTTGGTCAAATTAAATCATACAACACAGAAAAAAAAGAAAAAAAAAAGAAACAGGAAGTTCCTTGACTCATTACTAGTATATTACCAGTCGTATTATTCCAGAAAATTGAACCTTCAACTAGAGGCAGGTATAACCCAGAGAGCCATGCTTTGGGAAAGAAATTAGTCAACTTTTTTCCAACTAAGTTTGGACTACGATATTTTACATTTATTGGGGTTTATTTGGACATATTAATTGTATTTTCATAAAGTTTGACCAAAAATTGACATGTTTTATGCCAAATTATTTTCCAATGCGATAGCACAAAAACTACACAAATATACAGTCCTAGATAGAGTTATTATTGGCCAACGTCGTTTGTAATGAAGTTTGGTCGAAAATTGGCAAACCGTTTGTAATTCAGATTGATCGAAACTTGGCAAATAATTGATCAGCATGGAAAAAGAATCGCAATGTCGTTAATATTTCAAGACCTTCTCTACAAAAAGGCGTCAAAAAGTGCTTGTGTGATAGTTATTACAAAAAAATATAATCATCTGTGCACTAACTAAACGTGTTAAGTTTTAAACGGCTTTAAATTTTGAGTAAGTAATTAAGGTTATGTTTTCAATAAAACAATGTTTTAAAAACATTCAATTTCTTACTTCTCGAAGATTTTTTATTCCCTTATTAATTTTGAATTAATATAAATTTACATTGGTAGTTCTATATTATGTACTTATTTTTTGTTAATTGTTACAGATTTTTATCTTGAAGTTGCAGTGAAGAAAAATAACTGCCTTTTTCTAGGTAAATAGTGTTTATGGGTACTAGGCTTTTACTACAAGCAGGACAATTTAAAAATAAATTTTCTACTTATGTCACGAAGGAAAAAGAGGATTTATTGGGTTTTAAGATCTATCGTGCTAGAAGTGAGCAAGGTACCTAATTGCAATTTTTTTAAGTATTGAATTTAAAAATTTATTTCTTTTTTATTTTTAAAGTTCTTCATACCTAACATAAAGTTACCAATCACAAACTATTTTACAATAAGTTCTTAATGTTTAATAAAGCATAATTCTTGATAGCCTGATCGTAATTCAATTTGTATCATAATATTATAACAAGTATAAAGGTGGATTTAGCCAGCATTTAAAGTAATGTAATTAAACGTAACATAGGTTATTTAATTTAAAAAATTGTGTAACACAATTTGTGTTGACCCGTCAAACAAGAAAAACTCAACCAAGAATACATCTGCACTTAAAAAAATCTATACAGGGTGTCCTGAAATTAGGGGGCCAAACTTAAACAGTGCATTCTTCATAGAAAAATAACACTTTTTTGTAAACATGTATCAAAAAATGGTTTTCACTTCCAAAATACGTTTTAAGACTTGTGTTTTTATATTGTTATGTTATAGGTTAGCTACTTTAAATTTGTCGCTGACGATGACGTCGTAGGCAGCGTGAATTTAATTGTCAAAGAAGCCTTCTCAGATGAAGTT